TTGGAGATTATTCCTCTTATTTTCATTTTTGCAGTAAAAATTCATTTTTACGTAAACAGCACGAAATATTGCAGCAATATTATTTTGAAAGACATACAATACTTCATACAATACTTTCATCAAAGACATTACAATATTTCATAAAACATTGCTGCAGTATTGTAGCAATATTCCTATGTCCGCAAAAATAAAATATTGTTGCAGTATTTATTAAAAAAATATTGCATACGTATTGTTATAACATTATGCAATATTTCAATAATTATTCTAGTTTTATTAATTGCATTATCATTATTTTAGCATCATATTCCAAAATACATACAATTAAGTTATGATCAAAATTAAAATGTTCGAGGACCTAGAAAGCACATCCAAAAAAGATTGAAATCTCCAAGAAACTCACTAATTCAATTTGCGTAGTCTTAGCTTCTTATTGCGAGTTCTAGCTTCTTATAGGATCCCTTATGGGTCTCTATTCTGTAACTGTCTTTACACGCCTATCGGTAGTTGTTGCGCAGATATTTTATATAGTGAAAAAGCTGCGCAACGACACCAACCACTATCGGTAGACATGTAAAACAGTTACAGAATAGGGTCCCTGGACGTTTTCTGTTTATGAGAGGCGCATATCCTTATCATGGCGGGGCTGCGTACTTATTTAATAAATTGTAATATTGCAACAATATATTGCAATAATATATTTTCTGCAAAATATTAAAATTACAACATTTCGTAATATTGTTGTAGTATTTCCGATAAAATATTAAAATTCCAATATTGCAGTAATATTGCTGCAATTTTTATTATATTGTGCACTATTGAAATATTGCTGTAATATTTCGTGCTGTAAGAGTAGATATTCATATAGTTTTGTATAATTACATAATCATTTATACATATGTAAAAAACGTTTTATTAGCAATTTTTGTGTAGATATTTTATGTAGATCGATATTCGCACTTCTAAGGAGTGATTTTCTAAATAAGGAAAGCTTTTGAAAGTTTATATTTACAATAATAACCTTCCCAGATGTATTTATGTTGCATAAGATATCTAAAGACTGTCTTTTAAATATCTTATATTTTAAAAAATCTAAAAGACGTCTTTTAGATATCTTATGCAACATGCATGTTATTTAATAATGTAATAATGATTATATGCAGCACATATTACTATGAAACATTAAATATACCATCGTTTTATATTTAAAAAATCATTTTTTGTTAAAGTGTAGTTAAATAAATTTCGAATATAAAATTATTGTAAATATAAATGGAATATTATTCTTAAAAGAAGAGATGAAATTCGCTTTGTATCAAGTAAATTAAAAAAAGAGAAAAATTTTACTGTTTGAAAAAAATATTACCTTTACTGCCATACGGGAGACAGACATTTCCAGGGGAACGGAATGTAGTTCGCGTTGATACAAGGTTTCAATCTCTTCTTCGTCCAAATTGTTTCTTCTAATGGAATCCCTATGTAGTGCATCCAAGGCGCGTTCTAATCGTCCACTGCACGCATCCCAATCGCTAATACCGGTATATGCAAAACTAATTGACAAGAGTTTAAATAGCCAAACCGCTGGCTGTCTGAACTGCATTACCTATGGCAAATATAACAATTCTGTTTATGGTTGCGTAAAAAACATAATTACAACTGGTGAGTTTGACTAAAACAAATTTTTAATTTTTTACAATTAATCACTGACAATGATAGAAAATGAAACGTGTAATTAATGATATATTCAAATTTTTGTATTTTGATCATACAACGATTATTACAGATTTATATAAGTGTGCATTTGTCTACGTCCTGCCATTAAAATATCTTCCAAAACATATCCTGTAGAAACTTGATGAACTCGAGGCTCTGAAACAGAGCATGAAAGAGTCTCCATTCCGCTTATCGTCAACAACAATCGAATTGTGTGAAACTAGGAAGTATGATCTTTTAAGTAGCTCGTTAATGTTAATTGTAACACACAATAAACCAATAATATAAATTTATGAATTTGTTGTCATCCTTGACGATCAGTTTTTTAAAAAGCAGAATTATTAAATCAATAAAGGGTTATTTAATTAGAAATATGTTTAATCTAACAGAATCTCTTTTTCGGTTTCTCTCTCTTTCTCTCTCTCTCTCTCTCTCTCTCTCTCTCTCTCTCTCTCTCTTCCCTTTCTCTCCCTCTCTCCGTTTCTCTTTCTCTCTATTTTAATTAATAAACTTTCTATATACATATATATATATATA